ATTTCATTTATTCATTTCAATGACATTTTTACTAGACTACTGCTTCATGCAGATTAGTCAGAGACATCAAAAACCACTTATTAGCTGAGGTGAAGCTGTGATGACTGCAGTTGTCTAACAGTGTCAATCCAAACTTTAGATTAATATAATTTGCTAGCTCTAAATGACAGAGATATAATATAGATCTCGTATATCACCAAAGTAATAAATAATTAGTGAGCAGAACTGCGTGAAATAGCAGGTTGAGCACATCCCCAAATTTTGAATCTTATTCCAGAGAAGTCAGTGATCAGAATGATCCATCTCTCTGCCTCGAATGATAAAACAGCTTTCTCACAAGCTAACACATAGCACCATCTGGCACAAACAGGGAAAACTAAGAACTTCTGGAAGAGAAGCACAAAAGCAATTTAGTTTCTTCAGAATTGTCCAAGATATTAACAAAAAACCTTCAGAAACAGCCATCTGACTGCAAATGTGGCTCAGTGAACCTGTCTCCTGTAGAAATGCTTGTATAGCTAATAACCTCAATAAAATGTTGAATTTAACTGAATTGTTTGGGCATGGGGTGGGTATTGTCAGAGTTAGGACAGTGTGTGTGGAAAGTCAATTGTCTACCAGACTGGCTGGGTTTCAGAACATTATCTCATGTCTCTCAACAGGAATTTTAGGAGCTCAGAATGCATCTCCTCAGAAAAGATCAGCAGGCTCTTTTCAGTAGTTATTTATAAAAAGAGCGACTACAGACACCAAGCTAAGCTCTGCTTTGAGCAGTATCAGCACAAACATTACTGCCTGTTCGCTGGGGCAAAACGTCCTCCACGTGCAGAGCCGCGGACGAACGACACGCCGAGACGGGTTCAGTGTGGGTGATAGAGCATCAATCTAGGTGTGTGTTTATTGGTCCAGGGTACATATATTTATACAGACAATGATAATTATTATGCCTACTAGTCACTAGCTGATTGGCTTAAGCTCTAAAGGTCGTATTCGCACGGTCCACCTACTTGCAGTTAGCTAACAGCACAAGCTTCTCATAACACTAAGTTTCTCATGTTACTATTTCTGATTCCTCTTGACTTGTTTTCGATACACAACAGTACCATAACACAATGTTTCTCAGACCACCGTTACCCTAACACTGGGTTTCTCAGACCACTATTCCCAATCCCTCTCAACCTGTTTTCGACACACCACGGTACACAAGGCCGAAGCGTCCTTGACATTCCTCATGTATCAGCAGCGGCGAGCAGCTGCAGGCAAACCCTAGTGAGGCCCAGCATCAGCGAGGCAGCATCAGCCCCTAGAACAGGCTCTGACTGTACAACTGCTCGGTGGGCTCGGGACCCTTGTCTCTGAGCCATTCTCCAACATCCATGTGCAGTGGGGCAGGAAGGGTCTGGCCACACCATCAGCCCCCAGAGGGGACATGGAGCTGTGCCATCGGAGGCACTACTCAGGCATACAGCGCTGACTTTGAGAAGTTTGTAGTATAAACAGAAATGGAGTCTGCAGGCTGGATAACATTAGCCTGTTTCACTGATAGTAGCACAGATTTATTCTATCATTGCTTTTTGAAAGTGACTTTAAATGCAGACTGTTTTCTAAATGATCCTTAAAAGACACTCCTTTCTTCCTCATCACCTTCACCTAAGGCAATAACATCCAGTAGCATTGATCTATTTGCTGCTAGTTTTCATTAATTTTACCCTCCCTAAGGGTGGTGCAGCTTTGGTGCCAGCTAATTAAAACCTATTTAGGGCTGTTCAGTGCACTTTATCAGGCCAGAATTAGCTCTGCTGCTTTAATGAAGACTACAGTTTTATCTGTTATTACCAATTAAATGTTGTTATATCATATTGCATTACATTTCTAACGCATGGCAAAGACATAGATGGCTTTAGAACCACTTACCTGGACAGAAGTATGTACAAAGATGCCACATTTAGTAATTACCTAATGTTTCTTTAAATCCTTTCACTTGACTCAATACATATAATATACCAAAACATTAGTGAAGTACTAGAAGAAGCTGCCAGCTTTATGCTCCCTCTAGGGAAGTACCAAGTAAAATGCATTAATGAAAAATTGTGAGTCTGGTAATGAATATTATTTATGTACAACAATTATTCAAAGTGGATGAGCATTCACCGCCTTGAACTCAAATGCTTCACTAATGAAGACTCTCAGAAAGAACATATGTCCCCCAGATTCATAACACCGCATGCAAGGTTAATTCTCCAGCCTGGATAGCCCATATCAGAGGGTATTTTGTACTGCTGTAGAATTAAAAAATGCTTCATTGCAAAATAAACAAACTTCTTTGTTGGAAGTTATTTAGAGGCAATTCATGTTTCTTCCATGAACCAATAATAAGTCATTTGTCAATACCAAAGCTGTGGGTTTTGAACCTGCACTCAGTGAAGTCAGGGATGAAGCTCCCATGTCAGTGCTGCAGGACCAGAACTTTTCTGCAGCAGAGAAGTGACTGCAGCATATACCTGTTAGCTGCTTCTCATAACATCCTTCAAAACTCATGCACTGCTAAGATGAAACTAGTGAAAAGTCCCACTAATTACCTAAAAAGATGGTACATCAAAGAGTAGAAATAGAAAGCTCATTAAAGGCTTGACAGACTAGAAATCTGTTGCAATCTTACTCTGCATTAGTAGCATACACTGTACGTAAGGACAGTATTTTAGGATTAAACCAAAATAGATGTGGTTACAATCCACTGAGTACATTTTAAAATATGAGTTGAACTTGGTTTCCTTCCAGAATTTTTGCTGGGAACATGCTGAAACAGACCTCTGTTCAATCTAATACTGCAAGCAAGAGTTGATGTTTCTCTGAGGAACTGAAGGAATATTTGGCTGAGTAACCTGAGTCTGTCTCAGCATCATAATAGTCTGGCACAATGTGTGAAACTATTTTCATCGCCCACAAATCTCTTGTGCTCTCCCTTTATTCCTTCCACAAATGCCACATACCTCTAACAGCCTCATGACCCTCCCTAGAAACACCAGATGGGTCCTGTGAATTGAAGATGTTACAGAAAATGAAACAGTTTCCAAATGGAGGTCCCCTGGTTAGTAGGGAACTGAGGGATGTTTTCTTGTGATGCAGAAGGTGTCGGCTGGTGACACCTCAATTGTTTCCCTTGCTTCTGGATGACAAGTGCACTAAATGATGTTAAAAAGTACTTAGTATTTGATGTGGAAAAGTAGAACTGAAATGGAAAGTTGCAGTAGATACAAGGATGTTACCTGGTTGCCACTGGGAGTGGTAGTTTTTTTTCATAGTGTTAAAGGGATGCATGTGCAAACGCAATGTGGTGCGGGTCATGAGGCAGGCTTTTTACAATTTGCTGCTGTTCACAATGTGAAAAATTTAGTTGTAACAGCTTAAGGAGAAATAAATTGGCCCACTTTGACATTAGACTGCTTAAGAACTTTGTTCATAATCACTGGGAGAATAGAAGTTCAATCTGCCTTTGACACAAAAAGAAGCATTTGTATTGTGTTAATTGTGTAATAATAAAACCCTGAGATGTGTTAATTTGTTGAAGAGGAATGGATTAGGCTGGAGGTGAGGATACTTTGACACTGGATTATAAGATTTTTTGATAGGATATGCTAAGGGCTGGTCTCACAATAAGGATTTTGATAAAGTATTGTAAAGTCACTGTGACCTGACTACCTATTAACATAGAAGAGTCGTAATTATATAAAAAAAAAATATGTTTAGCAATGCAAGAATGCACTCATGACCATATTTAACTTGATTAATATGTAAACAGGATTACTTGCATTATTAGAGGTCATTTTTGAAGAACAGATCTTGTGTATTTTCTTTCTTAGCCTCTGTTCATCAGCTTGTTCAGTTAAACTAAAGAAGCCATGATAATCTTGACACCTTTATGACATACAGAAGCTCCCTCCAACTCCAGAATCGCAGCAGCAACACATGCACATGGTGAACAAGCTCAGGGGCAAGTTCCTCTGCATGTTTCAATAGTTTAAAAAAAAAAAAAAGGAAAAATAAACTCTAAGTTTTGACATTTTAATAACAAAGTGAATCAAGGAAGTTTGAGAGAACAAGCTCTTCTACTTCAAAAGCTAAGTCAAAAGTTCAGACTAAGTTAAACTGTCCGTGAATATCTGTATTTTTAATTTGGTCAGAATAACTATAGTCCTTCACAACTGCAAATTCATGATTTGCAAATTCAAAAATTAATACTAAGGCACAGCAGTGATCTGGAAACTCCTTCCTAATTAGCTCCAGTGAGTATGCATGACAGGTGCTATTTCATGCCAAAACACAGAAGATCAGAATTTTTGCAGCTCAGTTACAAAATCCTGAAATTTGTGGTCTTAATTCCACAGATCTAATTTCTGCTCTGAACATGCTAGCCAAAATAGTGGCCCTCACACCTTCATCTCCTTACAGCCCACACTTGAGCAGCATAAACACACACCCTCAGGCATAGAAAACAGAATTTCAGCATAATTCTAGTAAAAACCTAAATCTATTACGGTATCACTGATAATCCATTTTCACCAAGAAATAGAGATAATGCATATCCCTGAGGTTTGTGTTTGAAGAAAAGCTACAGTGAATCTCAACAGAGAAGAAAATACAATATCCTGGGGTTGTGAATTTGGAAATGTTGTTTGTGTAGGATTATCCTCTTCAAATAAAATGTCAATTTAATCAATAGTAAATTGAGCTGAAAAAAACACACAGCTTTGAAAACATTTCAGGAAGACATCCAATATTTTTGGGACTCAAGCCAACAGAAATGGAAAGAACAGAAGGTAGTGTAGGTGGGGTAAATGGGGCCTAGCTGCTGCCTCATCAAATGCTTATAACAGTCAAAACCATATAACAATCCATTAAAAACCTATCTGGGGACTCATGTAGTAGCTGGCATCCGGCATGGACCTCTCTTATGTGTCTTTTGTCAAACATTGCAATTGTTCTTCACATTTAGGACTTACCGGTCTTTTCCTGTCTCCTTCTTAAATACTGCATCACAGTAACTCATCCGCTTTTCTGTTGTCACATAGATTTTGGCAGTTGGGTAGCTGTCAACAGTTTTCTTCAGCATGTTGTACACAATGCCATTTCCATCCTTCCTCATATTTCGAAAAGGTCCCCAGATCACGTACACAGTGTTGTTGGTTTCTTTGAAAAAGTACTCAGGATTCTTGAGTAGGAGAGGCACGCTTGTGTGAGAGACCACTCTTATGGTTGTTCTCTTCCCAACATCTTCCTCATAGCCCTTTGTAGGAGCATTGTTCATCCTCCATATGCAGGAGGACTTGTCTATCTCGGCTCCCAAATTCTGGCCAGCCATCTGTCCCGAGTTTGAAACAATGGCGCACAGGTCACAGTCAAGTTGCAGAGGCTGGAAGAAAGAAAACAAAAATATACGGCAAGTCTTTCTCTAGGAAACATGAAGACTGAAAATTCAGTTAAAAGAAAGATGGGCATAGTCCAAAAAATTGATAGCAATGCTTCTCTTTAAAAAAAAAACTAACAATCCCCATGTAGTATAGCTGGTAGAAAACCCTACCACTGCAAAGTTCTGAATGCAACCCTTTTTAGTAAAATAAGCAATTCCAATATGTTACTTTGTTCTCCACCTTGTAAAATCAACTATAAAAATAACAATTTTTTTTCCTCTAAATGTTACTCTTTCCACTAGAAAACAAGGAAAGAAAGAAGAAACAGAAAACAGTATTTAGATCAATGCTGCCTTCTAACAAGGTGTTGTCAGCAATACAAAAAAAAAGTACATAAAAAGCAATGCTGGAAATTTAGCTATACACTGTGTTTATGTGTCTGAATTAATAGTACTAAAATTTGTGAAAGAAGTCAAACATGAGATATAACTCTAAAAAGCAATCTAGTAATATGAAAATCCTGCAATTGGAAAAGAGTTGTAGACAGAAGAATATGTTGTTCTCTCCAGAGAACAGTTATGACCTAAGAAAAATGAGAGGCAGATGGACTGGTGACACGTGAGCTTAATCCTGTGCAAACTGAAGTTGAAGACAGTATTTCCTGAGCACATTCTAGGGTAGTATTTCTCCAGTATGAATCGAAAATAGGAACAGTTATCTGTCTAACAGAGATACAGGTACCTATCTGATGTTCCGTTTGTCAGAGTATAAATAGTAAATGTCTTTTGGTTCTTTTGTAACAACAGACAAAAAGGAAATGACCTGTATTTAAGTTGGATTGTATGAGAAGATTGTTTAGAATGTAAACCAAAGGAAAACTAGATCCATCAAAAAGACCTACAGAAGATGGTCCAGGCCACAGATAATCTACAATTTTTTGTATGGTAACAGACTTGATCTTATGCCATGCTTCCAGCTGGGAACCCGTGACTTCAGTTTAATGTTTGCTACGAATAACTTCCTTCATGTTCTTCAGACATTAACCTGAGAGGATCCCGGGTGTTTTTCTGATTAGACTTGTGGTTATGTCCCTTCAAAATCACACCTCATTTAGCTGATGTGGCTGAATATCTGGGCTACATTTGAGCGCTGTAACCCTAGGACATGGTAGCTGACAAAACACCAAGTTTCTCTGATAATGGTGCATAATATAAGGACAAGAAATAAACATATGAAGTGAGCCAAAATATAACAGCTAAAATATCTCATCTTTGGGTGACAAATATTGTACTGAACTAAGGTGTATCCTGCAAGACTTCTGCAATAAATCTCACACTTGCAAATGTTTGATTTCTCTATTATGATTTGTTTGATTTCTCTATGTGAGTGGTTCATGAAAACATTATTTTCTCATTTTATCAGGAGTTAAAGATGTCTGACTGCATGCAAAAGCATTGGCAATGTTTCCTTTACAGAACCTCGTGTATTTTTTTTATAGCTGTTGTAGTTTTAGAGAGCTGTCCTGCATACTGCTCTGACAGCAGGGATGAAATCCCAGGAGATGCAACTGAACACAACAGTCTTTCTGTTTACCGCTTAGTTAGAGAAATCCTCCCTAAGATACCTTATGAGGACATGGCTGGGTGACCTAAACAAATCCATAAGCATAACTCACATCCTAACACGAAGTGAATTGTTAAAGTCCCAGTAGATTAATTTATAGCTTTCAGGGTGAACTTTCAAACTAACAAATGCTGAATATGAAACTGCTAGATAGGAAAAGCCAATTTGGTCAAGAATCCAGTCCCATTTAAATCTGTCTCAACCTCGGTGCTGGTTTTTGGTTTTCGTTGGTTGTTTGGTTGTTTTGTTTTGTTTGTTTTGTTTTTTTCTCCTTCAGGATATTCTTCCTTCTCCATTAAAATGGAGCTGCTCTCTTAAATTTGGAATTGTTTGATTTTCTGACCTTAGTTAGAAATGCATTGCACATTTTCTATTCACTGAGTGTAACTGTTCTGCTCGAATAAACTGAGTACACTCACTCCTGCAATTGTGTCCCCTGGTTTTCTAGCTCTTTTGTTGTGATTCATTTGTCTTGTTCCAATTTATAAAGCACTTTCATAATACTGAATGCCTGCAATAGGTCAACATATAATCTGCTCTTCTTCAATAGAGGCAGAGGCTTAACCCCTCCCAGCCCTATCTCAGAATAAATATTTTTTATAATGTAAGAAATTTTACATGTCCTAATAAGCATTTTTCCCAATAGAGATCCCAGAGAGAGTTAGGAGACTGGCTGACCCATGACAGACTTTCCACTGACTCCAGAGTCATCCACTGACTTCAGTATCTTTTTGCATCGTATCTTCCTCAACATATGAGAAAACACACATCAATATGCATTCACTGAACCCCCATAGAGAGACAGGCTGTCAGCTTGTGGTGTTGGTTTATAAGTGCCACAGACAAAAGGGGCAGTCTCAGTAATCCACATACAACTGCCTTCTCATTTTCCCCATTTAACAAGACGTTCCTGTTTGTTACTACACCCTAGCTCCGATATGGTTGTCCCAACATTTTAAGACTCAAAAGCTGCTAAAATGTAGTTCCTCTGTCAGGTGGCTCCCTAAGGAGCTATTCAGGCACAGGGATTTGGGTGCCCAAGGTGCCAGAACTGGGAAGCACCTGGGTGGTTGTGACTTCTACTTCTGCTACTGAACTAGGACACAGCTGACAGCTCCTTATGACCCTGAGGAGTTAGTGATGTGCTGTAGTCTCCCCTCACCTCATACTCTGAGGTCCTACATCCCTCACACCCTTTTCCCATACGCAGATTTCTGGCTGCAAGGTTGCCCATGATAGCCTTAACCTGCATAAGAAACCATCACTTTTCCATTTAACTTGCTCTATTGTTTATATTAAGGATAAACAGAAGCAGAGAGACATTTTTTACACACAGAAACCAGAATACAGAGAGATGAAAACTGGAGAATTGGAGAAAATGTGCCTTCTTGGTGATCTGTTTTGTAATTAACAGTAACTGATTACAGGTGTCCACATCACAAACGCCAGGATAACAATTAAACACTAACTCATCATCAGCCTTATCAGAGAAAGCAAAAATGGGTCTGGCAGGCAGTCCAGGCTGCCCTCTCATTTGTAGAGATGGTCCAGCAGCAGTGGGATTGATACAGATTGGCAGGACCATACGGAAACCTATGCTGTTAATGTTTAGGCTTTCTGGACCAATGTCCTGGTTTCGGCTGGATAGAGTTAATTTTCTTCTTAGTAGATGGCACAGTGCTGTGTTTTGGATTTAGTATGAAAATAATGTTTATAGCAACAACTAAAACATCAGCATGTCAAGTAGTGCTTATCCTAAATCAAGGATTGTTCAGTTTCCCACACTCTGCCAGGGAGCAGGTACACAAGAAGCTGAAAGGGAGCACGGCCGGGACAGCTGACCCAAACTAGCCAAAGGGATATTCCGTACCATAGAATGTCATGCCCAGTATATAAACTGGGGGGAGTTGGCCGGGAAGGTGGGACTGCTCCTTGGGCTTCAGTGAGCAATTGCATTGTGCATCACTTGTTTTTCTTGGGTTTTATTTATCTATCTTAAATTATTATTATTATTATTATTATTATTATTATTATTATTATTATTATTATTATTATTATTATTATTATTATTATTATTATTATTATTATTATTAAACTATTCTTATCTCAACCCATGAGTTTTACTTTCTTTTTTCCAATTCTCCTCCCCATCCCACCAGGGGTGGAGGGAGAAGTGAGTGAGTGGCTGTGTGGTGCTTAGTTCCTGACTGGGGTTAAACCATGACAACCAAGAATGTCAGTTAAGGGTTTACCTGTACGTTTCACAAGATCTTCATTCACTTGAATTGCAGATATATGAGCTAAAGAAAAAGCCATAGAGAACAGCTCACGTTTTCTTCTCTTTTCATGTATTTAGACACGTATTTCACCTCTACACACCATGGGGGCTGAGCTATTATTGCTTCTAGAAAATTATTCATTTTGTCGCTGACCAGAAGAATGTAGAAGTTCTCAGCAGAGCAGCTGGGCATGATTCTGACAAATTGTCCCATCTTTTTCCTGAATGATACATTGTAACTGTTGAGGAGCACTTATATTTTAATCAGTAAAGAAAATGAAATGTCTGACCTTTTCATTTCCTGTGCAAGCTTACAGACAATAGAAAAGATAATTAAAACTGTGAATTAGAACTTGCAAAACAGTGCCGTTTCTCTAGCAAAGAGAAATAGCTGTGTAATAAAGGTCACTTATCAAACAGTTCTAGTTATTAAATCTTTGCATTTAGCACTGAAGTGGCTTCACAGAATCAAAGGTCAAATCATTAAATAACAAAACCAGCCAGAATTAGAAAAGGTCACAAGCAAATCTAACTAGAACTAGGTCACAAAGCATGATTCTCTTCCACAGAGGATTTCAATATTTGAAAACTGGTTACTTTCCAATTTGAAACAACTCCCAACCATTTTAAATGTCTCCACCAAGAGACTGAAATTCCAGCTACAGGACCATTTGTATGGGTGGGTTTCCCAGTGGCACAAATCCTGAATTGCCAAGTTTCTACAGATCCGGTCTGCTGAAGTCCCAAGCATGAATATCTCAGGCCAGGTCTCTTAACCTCTCCTCTTGTCCAACACTTCAGCACAAGTCAGTGGAATCCAACAAAACAATGTCTTGACAGACCAGTCACATGCCAAGCTTCCGTCTTAGCAGAGGCTGCCAGATTCACTCCTCAGTTGGACCAAATCTAGCTCAGGATGCATGCAGATGTAATTTATACTGATGAAAAGCTGGATTTCTCTTGCGACTTCTTATCACTGTAGGTTGGTGGTGTGCTGGCGAGCTCACTCCAACCACCAACTCTGCTTCACTCTGTGAATCACAGAACTAATCATACAGATAGTTAGGAAATACAGATTAAACTTTCCCAATTGTTACTTTG